CCCGCGTCACTCACTCCTCCTTCTCCCGCTGCCCCCCCTTCCTCCACTCATTATCATCGCCCATGTCGGCACGCCCCCTTATACGTTTCATGGCCCCATACGGAGCTCCACCGAAGGCTCCAGTGGACAAAATTCGCATGCGTCCCCGCCACCCATTCCGGCACACCCCTCACAAGTTTGGCGGCCCCACAGGGAGCTCCACCGGAGGCCTTAGTGGCGGTGTTCGTACGCGTCCCGCCACCCATTTCGGCACGCCCCGCACACGATTCGTGACCGCACGGGGAGCTTCACCGGAGGCCCCAGTGACAGTGTTTGCACGCGCCCCCGCCACCCATTTCGGCACACCCCTCACACGTTTTGAGGGAGCTCCACCGAAGGCCCAAGTGGCGGTGTTTGCATGCGCCCCCGCCACTCATTGCAGCCCACCCCTCACACGTTTCGTGGCCCCGTAGGGAGCTCCACCGAAGACCCGAGTGGCGGTGCTCGCATGCGTCCCCGCCAACCATCCCAGCACACCCCTCACAGGTTTCGTGGCCCCACAGGGAGCTCCACCGGAGGCCCCAGTGGCGGTGTTCGCATGCGTCCCCGCCACCCATTTCGGCACACCCCGCACACGCTTCGTGACCCCACAGGCAGCGCCACCGAAGGCCTCAATGGCGGTGCCATTTTGGCACACTGCGCACACATGTCGTGGCCTCATAGGAAGCTCCACAAAAGACCCCAGTGGCGGTGTTCGCATGCGTCCCCGCAATCGATTTCGACAGTCCCCTCACACGTCTCGTGGCCCTATAGGGAGCTCCACCGAAGGCCCCAGTGGCGATGTTCGCAAGCGTCCCCGCCACCCATTCTGGCACACCCCTCGAACGTTTCGTGGCCCCATAGGGCGCCCGACCGGAGGGCCCAGTGGTGGTGTTCGCACGCGTCCCCGCCACTCATGTAGGCACACCCCTCACACGTTTCGTGACCCTCTAGGGAGCTCCACCACGATACCTTCAATTGCGCTACTCACAATTGCATATGGTTGGGTCACTCGCCAGGCTAATTTGTTTCCAACCATCCTGTGTTGGGTCCTCGTTTTGAAAAGACAGCGCCCCACGTCTCCTCTCCTCCTCCCTCCTTCCTCCTCCCCCTGCGTGCCGCTGACCTCCGCATGCCCATTTCGGCGCACTCATCACACGGCTCATGTTTGGACGCCCGAAATGGGCACGGAAAGAATGGGTACAATGCCCAACAACAAATGTTGTCCCAAACCAACAGCGGCCACTGTTGAGCAGGCGGCTTTCTGTCTCAAATGGACACAGGCCGCGGCGACACCGACAGCGAGTCCTGTTCGAAATGAACAGGAACTGCTGTTGGGCTTTGTACCCATTCTTTTGGTACCCATTTCGTTCGTGCCGATCGTGGCCCCATAGGGAGCTCCACCGAAGGCCCAAATTTCTGCGTTCGCATGGCACCACCGCACCCATTTCGGCACGCCTCACACGTTTCGTGGCCCCATGCGGAGACCCACCGAAGGCCCAATTGGCTGCGTTCGCATGGCACCACCGCATCCATTTCGGCACACCCTTTGCCCGGTTCATGGCCCCATGGGGAGCCCCACTGAAGGCCCAATTGCTGCGTTCGCATGGCACCACCGCATTCGGCACACCACTCGCACGGTTCGTGGCCCCATAGGGAGTCCCACTGAAGGCCCAAGTGGCTGCGTTCTTATGGCAACACCGCACACATGTCGGCCTACCCCTCACACGTTCGTGGCCCCATGGGGAGCTCCACAGAAGGCTCCAGTGGGAGGGCTCGCATGGCACCACCGTGCCAATGTCAGCACGCCCCTCACACGCTTCGTGGCCCTATAGGAAGCCCCACCGAAGGCCCAAGGTCTGCGTTCGCATGGCACCACCGCGCCCATTTCGGCACACCCCTCACACATTTCGTGGCCCCGTATGGAGCTCCACCGGAGGCCCAAGTGGCTGCGTTCGCATGGCACCACCGCGCCCATTTCGGCACACCCCGCACACGCTTCGTGGCCCCGTATGGAGCTCCACCGAAAGCCCAAATGGCTGCGTTCGCATGGCACCACCGCGCCCATTTCGGCACACCCCGCACACGCTTCGTGGCCCCGTATGGAGCTCCACCGAAAGCCCAAATGGCTGCGTTCGCATGGCACCACCGCGCCCATTTCGGCACACCCCGCACACGCTTCGTGGCCCCGTATGGAGCTCCACCGAAAGCCCAAATGGCTGCGTTCGCATGGCACCACCGCGCCCATTTCGGCACACCCCGCACACGCTTCGTGGCCCCGTATGGAGCTCCACCGAAAGCCCAAATGGCTGCGTTCGCATGGCACCACCGCGCCAACTTCGGCACACCCCTCACACGTTTCGTGGCCCCACACGGAGCTCCACCGAAGACCCGGGGGGGTGCTTTCGTAGGCACCACCGCACCTGTTTCGGCACGCCCCTCACACGCTCCGTGGCCCCGCAGGGAGCTCCACCGACAGGCCTCAGTGGCTGCGTTCGCGTGCTCCCACCGCTCACACTTCGGCACACCACTCACACGCTTCGTGGCCTCGCAAGAAGCTCCACCGAAGGCCCCAGTGGCTACGTTCTCACGCGCCTTCCGCACTCATTTCGACACACCCCTTACACGCTTCGTGGCACCAGAAGCACCTCCACCGAATGCGGTGGATACAACGACGGTGCTCACAACTGCGTATGGTTGGCTCTTTCGCCAGAGTAAGTACATGTTTTCGGGGCACTCGATTTTAAAATCCCTGCGACACATTTTTGTTTCCCAAATATTCCGCATGCGCGCGCGACGTCGTGCGCGTGCACTTCGTCCCGTTTGTTGCAAGTGATCCGTGCAACAGCACGCGCGCAAGGGCGTTCGAGCGATTTCGACATGCGCGCGCGCGAGAGGCACGTTTGGTAGCATTATATGAAACTATCGACACATCCATGGTTTCTCTGAAGAATCTGCAAGAGCGTGAGCGCATGCTTTTTCCAAACCATCCTGCGGTGTTGGGTCCTCGCTTTGAAGAGACAGCACCCGCATCCCACCTCCTCTCCTCTTCCTCCCCCTCCGCGTCCGCGCCACACCTTTCGGCACACCCCTCATACGGTTCCCTGCCCCATGGGGAGCTCCACCGAAGGCTCCAGGGGGAGAGTTCGCATGGCACCACCGTCATAAGGGGCTCTTCCGAAGGCTCCAGTGGGAGGGTTCGCATGGCACCACCGTGCCCATTTCGGCACACCCCTCACACATTTCGTGGCCCCGTATGGAGCTCCACCGGAGGCCCAAGTGGCTGCGTTCGCACGCACCACCGCGCCCATTTCGGCACACCCCTCACACATTTCGTGGCCCCACAGGGAGCGTTACCGAAGGCTCTGGTGGGAGGCTGCGCATGACACCACCGCGTCCACTTCGGCACACGCCTCATACGGTTCGTGGCCCGATAGGAAGCTCCGCCGACGGCTTCGGTGGGAAGGTTCGCATGGCACCACCGCATCCATTTCGGCACACCCCCTCAAACGCTTCGTGGCCCCATAGGGAGCTCCACCGAAGGCTCCAACGGGAGGGTTCGCACGCGCCCACCACACCCATTTCAGCACACCCCTCACACATTTCGTGACCCTCTGGGAAGCTCCACCGAAGGCTCCAGTGGGAGGGTTCGCATGGCACCATCGCGCCCAGTTCGGCACACCCCTCACACGTTTCGTGGTCCCCTAAAGAGCTCCATCGAACGCTCCAGTGGGAGGGTTCGCACGGCACCACCGCACCCATTTCAGCACACCCCTCACACAATTCGTGGCCCCAATAGGGAGCTCCACCGAAGGCTTCAGTGGGAGGGCTCGCATGGCACCACCGCGATTTGTTTGAGAATTCTTGCTGCGAGACCATGTTTTTTTGGTTTCGGGGCACTCGGTTTTGATACCGTTGCGAAACCATGCTTTTTGCAGGATTTCGGCATGCGCGCGCGAGGACGAGCGCGTGTGCACGTCGTCCAATGTTTTTCCCAAGGATTCTTGATGACTGCTGATTTTTCCTACATGAATGTGCGCGCATACGTTTTTTGACAGAAGATACGAGTGGGGGAGATTACCGTCCTGCCTGGTATGGGGTAAATTTGTTTTTAGGATGGACGATGGGGCATAATCGCATGTAATTTGCAATGCGAAGAGGGGGACCGTTAGGTCCAGAGGGGGGGGAGGTATATCCTACTATTCTCAATGAAGAATGGAGAATCTAGGTGGTGCAGTACATGTGGTGCAACCTAGGTGGCGCCAAACAACGCCAAGCAGCGTCAAGCAAGGCTAAGCACAACATAACGATGCAACACAATGCAAAGCAATACCACGCTAAGCATCACAAGGCGATTGCACAGCGGTGCGATTGCAATGAAATGCAATGCAATGCGAGCAACGCGAAGCGATGCAAAGCGATGCAACGAAAAGCGATCCAAAGCAATGCAAGGCAATGCAGGGTACTGTGCAGCACGGGGTAGTAATGCAAAACAGAGCAAATCAATGCAGAGCAGAGCACTGGTATGGTATAGCCATGTAAAGCAACGCAAAGCGGTGCACAGCACGGCATAGCAAGGCAGCACAATGCGAAGCAACGCAGGCTCAGACGACGGGCGGCGACGAGGCGGCGACAGGGCGGCGACGGGGCGGCGACAGCGACAACGTAGCCGCCAGAACGGCCCGCAGGCCCAGACGACTGGCGGCCGGGCGGCGACGAGGCGGCGGTGGGGCGGCGACGGCGACAACATAGCGGCCAGACTGGCCCGCAGGCCCAGTTACTGAGAAAAGAAGCCAGGAACCCCTAAGTGCAAGCACTGTTTGGGTAAACGTCCGCCGACGAGTCTTCCCTGTGCCTTCATGGAGGGCTGCGGTTTAGAATATCGCTGGCCCTGGGAAGTGATCTATACACCGCCAACCTCCCCCGAGGCCCAGGATCAATACACTGGGGGGTGTCACAGAATTTTTCTTTGTGCCGGATACCTCCTCCTCGTGCCAGCCCACGGCCTGCGCCTCTGTCATCGGGGCCTTGTACTTGTCCATAGGCGCCTTCGCAAAACGACGGTGCTTCCTCATATCGTCCTTGAGGTCGCTGTGGGACGAGTGTTCCGTGGCATTCTTGGCGATCTCCTGCGTGTGGGAGGATGGATGAGGAGGGGAGGATGAAGGCGGAGGAGGAAGAGGAGGAGGAGGACGACAATGAGGCGGAGGGAGAGGACGGAGATGGAGCAGGAGAGGGGGGATGGACAAGGAGGGGGAAGATTGAGGACGAGCTCCTCCATGATGCCGCGCACGTGGTCGAGTCCGGCCTCCAGCTCTGGCCAGCTGATCCCACCGCTATTGTCGAGGTCCAGCGCGGTCACGTACAGGCTCATTTCGTCGGGCATTGGAACGAATCCGTAGGCCTTCTTGAAGAACAAGGGCATCTGATCCTTTGACAGCTCCTGAGATTCGCCACGCATCTTGTCGAACGTGTCCTTCAGCTCCTCGTTCGAGAAGTGCGTGATGCCAGTGGCGCTCAGCAAGTTCGACGTCCACGGGCTCTCGGGACCCAGACCCGTGATGTTCTGCATCCTCGGTGCTTCTGCACAGGGTCTGACCCGTCGCAGACCAGCGCGAGGGTACCGCGCGCGATGGCAGGCACGTCTGCAAGCAGCGACAGGGGACCTCGAACCGGAATGGTCACGGAGGGGGGGGAAACGATAGTGCAGGAAGGGAGGAAAGGGTTCAGAAAGCAGCAGGACATGGAGGAGAGGGGGGGTGGAGGGAAACGATAGTGCAGAAAGGGGGTGAAATGGAGGAAAAGGGTTCAGAAGGGAGCAGGACTCGGAGGAGGGGTGCGGGGAAAGATAATGCAGGAACGCGGCGAAGTGGAGGAAAAGGGCTCAGAAAGGACCCGGACTTGGAGGAGGGGGGGGGGGGGGAAACGATCGTGCAGGAAGGCGGCGCGAAGTGGAGGAAAATGGTTCAGCAAGGAGCAGGACACGGAGGGGGGGAGGACAAGCTAGGTGCGCTCGCGTCATATCTGACGTCCTACCCCTCCCTCCCATCCCTTACCATGGCGCTGATTTTCTCTATCCGCGGACGCGTGTCGTAGCGGACCTGTGGCTCCGCGCGCGCGTGCGTAACTAGTGGGTGGTGGTGCGCGTGCGTGCGTGCGTGCGTGTGTGCGTGGTTGTGGTGGGTGGTGGTGGTGGTGGTGGTGGTGGTGGTGGGTGCTGGTGCTGGTGCTGGTGTGGTGCTGGTGCTGGTGCTGGTGGTGGTGGTGGTGGTGGTGGTGGTGGTGGTGGTGGTGGTGGTGGTGGTGGTGGTGGTGGTGGTGGTGCGGCGCGGTGGTGGCGGGCGGATGGGCGCGCGAGAAAGAGGCCCGCGCTGGGGCGAGAACGCCATCCTGAACGACGGAGGCCAAACACCGATCCGAAAATGAGGCCCACGCTGCAGCGGGAGCACGATTCGGAACGATTCGGGAGCAGAAATGAGGCCGGCGCCTCAGCGAGAGCAGCATTTTAGAAAAAAAACACAAGCGAAAACCCAACTCCGGGGAATCCTGTGTGTAAAAAAACAGTACGCGGGGGGGTGCCGAATATCTTCCGGACGCCATCAGGGGAAGTGGGCGAGTATTTTCATATTGTGTAATTGTGGAGGAGGAGGCGGAGGAGGACGAGGAGGCGGAGGAGGAGGAGGTCGACAGCGGCGCCGCGGCGGGCGGCGAGCTCGCGGCCGACGCCACCGCCGCTGCCATCGCCCTCGACCTCCCAAGGCACCCGCAGTGCACGAGAGACCCGGCTGGCGCGGCCCCTCCCCCTCGGGAGCGGCGCCGTGCGCTCGCGCGCCGCTGTCCTGGGGGGGGCGCCTCGTGCGGTGGGGGAGCGTGGCGGCTCCCGGGGCAGGGAGGAGGGCGGGCCGGCGAGAGGGGGGGGGGGGCATTAGGTCGGGCACGCCCCCCCCCACAGGCGGAGTTTGGACGAAGCATGAAAGAGGCCCCAGGCATGTTCAAACATAGCTGACTCAAGAATCGGAAAATCGTGCCCATACTGGCTTTTGGACTAGTTTTGAATGTTCCTGCTGTAGAGGGGCATGCCCGACTTAAGGCGAGGAGGGAGGAGCTGGGAGCCGAGGAGGGGGGAGGCGGGAGAGGGGGGGTCTCTTGGGACCTCGTGAGGGGATGCGCTTCGGGACGTCTCGCATGGGGCCTCCTGGGGAGCTCATGGGGCCTTCTCGGGGCCTTCTTGGGGGCCTTCTCTGGGGCTTCTTGGGCTCCCGTGGGGCCCTCCCGCGCCTTCTGGAGGCCTCTGGGCGGCCATGGGGGCCATCAGGAACTGTTTTGGGGGGTCTGAGGACTTTCAGGGGGTGCATTGGGGTCACCTTTGTGCGTTCCTGGGCCGCCTGGGACCTGTCTTGGGGCCATCTCGGCCGCCTCTGGGGCCGTCTTGGAGCCCTGTTGGCTATGTTGGGGCCCATTGGCAATTTTGGGGCCCGATTGGACCGTCTTTGGTTGGAATCGAAATCGGATCGGATCGATGGGATCGAAGTGGCCCCTGCCCTCATAAGAAGCACCCCTGCAAGCGAAGCTCTTCAGTAAACGCGCCCAGGGAATGAAACGAACCGGGCAGGGCTGTCTCGTTCAACAAACGCAACTGCAATGGGGATCGGACTCATTAGTTTGACGACGCCAGGGCTGCCCCTGGGGGCAGTCTGTGCGCAGCCCCACGCCCTGCCAGAAGTGCCTGCTCCTCCTCTCCCCGCCATCCGACGGCGTTCAACAAACGCACGGCGTCGCGTGTGCCCAACACCAGAGCTCTCGACTCCATCCCTCGACGCGACTTCTCGAGCCGTATGAATCCCCGATGGTCGCCGAGGCCCCGAGGCGGGGCAAGTGAGTCCGTCGACGACGGCGAGGGCGGGGAGGACGGGACCGAGGACGACGACGACGACGACGACGACGGCGACGACGACGACGACGGCGGCGGCGGCGGCGGCGAGGACGACGACGACGCCGACGACGACCACGACCATGACGACAACGACGACGACCATGACGACGACGGCGGCGGCGGCGACGACGACGACGACGACGGCGACGATGACGGCGACGACGGCGACGACGACGGCGACGACGGCGATCACGAGGAGGAGGACACTTGCAACGACCTGGACGGGAACCCGGGCCCCTGAAACGGGACGCGCGCCCGGCCTGCGGCTGGGGGCCCCCGGTCCTCGTGGGCCACCGCGGGCGGCGGGAGCCACGCGTGCCCTGGGGGCCGGCGGGGCTTCCGGGCGGGTGGGCCGTGCGCCGGGCACGGGGAAAGAGAGAGGGCGAAGGAGGGGGGGGGCGAAAGAGGGGGGGGCGAAAGAGGGGGGGGCGAAAGAGGGGGGGCGACAGAGGGGGGGGGGGGCGACGACAGAGGGCGAAGGAGGGGGGGGCGAAAGAGGGGGGGGGCGAAAGAGGGAGGGGCGAGCCCGAGCTGGGGCGCATCGCGAAGGCGGGTCGGATCGGAGAGGGGTCGCGTCGCCAGCGAGTCGTCCCGAGTCGGAGCGAGATCGGATCGCCGCGCCCGGCTCTGGCTGGCCACGGCCGATGCCGGCGAACCGAGCCGAGCCGAATCGGAGTCGCTGCGCCCTGCAGCTGGCGAGTCGAATCGGTCTTGCCAATGCGCAATTCTCGTCCCTCTTCCTCCTCCTCTTCCTCCTCCCTCCTTCTCCTCCTGCCCCTGCTCCTACTCCTCATTCTCCTCCTTCTCCTGCTTCTCCTCCTGCTCTGTCGAATCGGATCGTGAGCGGCACTGGAAATGTTTTTCATGCGTTATTCTATCGTTTTCCGGGCCTCCAGGAGGCTTCTCGTGGCCACGGCTAGATGCCCGTCGAAATTGGGGCCAAAACAGGACCGATTGTTGCGAGAATGCCCAGATGAACCCTCGCGACCTGTGGGGGACACCGATGTTGAACACATCAAGACATCGGAGATCAGAGGATCATACTTCGAATATTGAGGCCTTCGAATGTTTTGGACGCTCTTCGCCCTTGTTGGGCCTCTGCAGGAAGGGAGGGATGGGAGGAGGGCAGAGGGGCCCTGGGGCGGGGACCCAGAAGAATAACAAACTGCAGAATTGAATCATTAAGCACACACTGTCGGAGGTCCGCGCTGATTTCTCGAATCGGCGCTGGGCCCGGGCGGCGCAAGCGGCGACGCCAGGGGGTTCCGGCTTCTTTCAGAGGCACCCGCACGGACATCCGAAATTGTATTGCCATGAGCGTTGCTCTTGTTCGTCTGGGGGGATGTCGAGGAGGAGGGGAGGAGGGAGGCGGAATATACAACTGGCGTCGGTCCCAATATATAGGACCAATGGGGAACCAGGGGGGCGAGAACTATGTCTCTGCTGGAGTTCAAGGATTTCCAAATGCGAGCAAGGAAGTTCAGAGGGTTCGCCAAGGTTGTAGAAATATTGTGATGCTGACAATGGTGATACTGGTAATACTGATGCTGATGCTGCTGATGATGGTGATGATGTTGATGCTGATGAGTATGTATCACATGCAACATATGATGATGCGGATGATGATGCTGATGATGATGACGATAACGATGATGACGACGACAACGGTACTGATACTGATGCTGGTTTTACGCACCTGGAACGGCCACGAACGTCCACACATTCTGCATGATGATGCTGCTGCTGCTGATGATGATGATGATGATGATGATGCTGATGATGAGGGTGAGGAACAGAAGAAGGGAGGAGGGAGGGAGAGGAGGAAGGGGTTGTTTGAGGACGGGACGATGACGGGCAGGAGGACGAGGGGGAACAACAACAACACTCACGAAACGCTCTTGGGAAAACTGGGTTCGAAGCCAAAGCGAGCATCCGCGTGACAAGAAAGGATCTCGCGTACCCCAAGGAGTCTCGGGCGAGCGGGGGTGGGGTCGGGGTGGCTCACGCGCGCGCTGTAAGCACGTGGATGCAGCACACAAGGACGCCACAGGATTGCGCTGCTGCCAAAGAAATCATCCGCGGCAACACTTCCACAAACAGTGCTCGCCACTAGGGGTCCTTCCTTCGTGTGCTTGAAGTCATTGGTTGGGTGTGCCACGTTTCCGGCTAGTGCCCTGACGGTGGGCGCTCGTGGGCGCCCCGCTCTGGGTGGCCGTGCCGGAGTCTCGCTTGCTGCCCGCCCGCGTGGGCGCCTCGCGAGCGCCTTCGTGCGCTCGGTCGGTGTGCCGAGGCTTCGCCTGCCGCCCGCCCGCGGGTGCCTCGTGAGCGCCTCGTGCGCCGGGTGGGTGTGCCGACATCTCGCCCGGTGCCCGCCCGTGGGTGCCTCGTGGGCGCTTCGAGGCTTCGCCTGGCGCCCACCTGTGGGCGCCCCGCTGGACGCTGATGATCTTATCAGCTGTTCTGTGAGGACTCCGATATCAAAGCGTTCAAAACCATGCGTTGTACAGCACAATTCTATTGTATGTTCTGCCTGCCAGCATGTGCTGATCTCGTGGAAGAACCGCTAGACGTTAATGATGTTAGCCGGGGCCCACATGTTCATCTCACCACGCGGTGCATCCGCTGTGATCTGGCACGCG